TTCAATTATTATTGAGCAATTAAAAGCCCACAAAAACTGAATAGTGATATTATCTGAAGCCATTCCTCGCCTAGAGCAGCTCGCATCTACCCCACAACACATCATAAAGGAGCGGTATGTTAAGAGCGTTAAGGTCGGCGTTGGGGCAGGGAAGAGAAGAAGAATGGCAGCTCGGCCAGCGATGTGGCTCGGTGGCAAGATGGGGAGCGAAGGGTGTGATTGGGCGATGGTGACGTCAGGGGGGCAATGGATTACACGTGTGAGAGCGGGGGGGGCGGAGAAATAACGAAATTGTTGAATTGTTGGCGTCCTTGGTCCTGTGACCAAATGCCGCATTGCAGCCTTTCAAATGCTCCGGCCGCGTGCACTACAAAAGGGGAACGCTGTATGCAGTGCATACTATGCACTGCACCGTCTTAGCATCGTACATACGTTATGCGTTGTGCATACATACAGATCCGTATGCACTGCACCCGTCTGAGCATCGTACATACGTTATGTGTTGTGCATACACACAGTGCCACCTCCTGTGGCACCCCGCTTACGTCACGCCGCCTTCCGTCATCACCCCGCCCTCCGCTCCGCATTCCCTCACCGCCCCTCAGCGCCTTCCTGCCCGCGCGTCTCCCGCGACCGCCCGCCGCCTTACACTGTCATGCCCCGCAACTGTCGCCTCGTTGCCGCCGGGGAGCGGGGGGCGAGCGCTGCGCCGCCCGCACGCGCCGCCCGCACGCGCCGCCGGGCGCCGCAAGTGATCGGGATTAAGATCCGGACCGGGATCCGGATCAGGTTTGCAACGTGCCTCATGACGTCGTGGCGGGTGTGCGGCCGCCCGGCGGGGGTGCGCGATCAACACGCGCGCGCGGCCACCTGTTGCGCGGCGCGGCCTCCCCGCGCGATTGCTGCAGATACAAGACGCACTCCAGCTTACCCGGGCCCCCGTCCGTGGCGCCCAACCGCGCCTCTCTCCACGTGCCCACGTCGTCGCGCCCCACCCGGAGCACGACTGTTTGCAGTTGCTGAGGTGCGGGCGGCGAGTAGCGCGGATCGCCCAGCACGCCGCCCAATCGGGATGCGCTGTCCCCGCGCCCGCGCCAGGGCCGCGCGCTTCGGCCCTGCGTCCTCTGAGCTGCATGTAGCATCGCAGCATCTCCGCCCGCAAACGCTTCCCCATTTGAACCACGCGCGACCCGCGGCGCCAGCACCACGCCGCCCTGCGTTTCGCAGCCCTGCATCCTGCCCGTGCGCGGTGATGCGCGCATCCCCACCCACCGCCCCGCACGCCCGAGGCGCGCGCGTCCGAATGCGCTCCGCCGCCGCCGTTGCGCGCGCCCTCACTCCGACGAGCCGTGCCTTCTCCCGTGTGCGTGCGCACGCGCGGCGCGCGCGACGAAATCGATATCGCGGGCGCCGAAGTTTGCTCATTCCCCCCCCCTTCCCCAGCATCGGCAGCGCGCGAGGATGAGCGGCGGCAACAGCAGCGGCGGGATGGAGGGCGGGGGTATGCTCGAGGAGCTGGACGTGATGCTGTCGCCGCGAGCCAGGCGTGATGTATCCGTTCTCGCAGGAGTTCGAGCTTCTGCTGGCGGCAAGGGAGGCGCCGGCGGTGTGGTAGGGCGTGGCGGCGGGCGAGGGAGGCGGTGCCCGCAACAAACGCAAGTCCGGTACAAGTACATCGTTGTGCCGCCCGACGGATCACGTGCAACTGCGCGAATACTCGCTGAAGCGAATATGAAGCGAATATTATAGCTCGCCACAAGCATAGAACGTTTCTCAGTCGAACGGGCGGTGTGTTTGGAGAGGACCGCCTTTTAGAATCTTCTACTTGTCTATCTTTCGCGGTTGCTTCGGCGGCATCTGTGGCAGATCCTGTCGCGCTTTGATCCATTGGTGGACTCTGCGCAGATGAAGCGATAGGGGCTTCCATGACGCATATCGCTACGAACCCGTGCAGTCTGGGACTCGTTTGTGCTGATGAAAAGAACGGAAGACCCACTTCGTTTTTCTTCACGACGGGTCGATCCGGGACTGCTGTGATGAGGCGGATGTGAAAGTCGTGGAAAACTCACATGCCCCGAGTTTTCGGTATGCTGTGAGTTTTGCCAAACGCGTTGTTTGAAAATTTTGCGTTGAGAAAATCCGAGCAAACTCGTTGCCAAAAGTTTTGGCCCAAAACACGCGTTTTCGTGACTTTACGGAAAACGTTATAGAATCTCAAGTTTGGTAAAATTGAAATTAACGGTAAAATTGAAGAAAAAAGTTGGCCTCGTTTGCCATTATTCTTCTCACACGTGTCGACTTGTGCACGTGTACCAATCGCCTCTTAACATTGAGACTCGCGCCCCGCCTTCAGCCGGTCTACAACCCTTCAGAACACTGCCTCGATTCACTAATACAACTACCGAAGGGTACCGTTGCCTCTACATCTTTCACTCGCACGCTAGGCAGATGCCTGACGCATCTGATGGCCGGGGGCCTGCACCTTATTGCTCAAGATATCATTGCTCAAGATATTATAGTGAGCACGAGAGCTCACTTGACTGCTGAGAGACAGCGATATCCCTTCATTCGTCAATTAACCTCCATGTTGAATCCGTCGGCACCAAACCCACGTGGGTTATTGGATCATTCTGTCCGAATGCTTGACGCCTCTGTGATCGTTTTGTAGTCCTCTGTCTGTGTGGAGGACAAGCCTTCGCGATGGAATATTTCTTACACGTCAGGTACGCTCGCATCCCTCTGGAGCTGTTTACTGAGTGATGAAAGGGAAGCAGGTCGGTACTTCATAAATACACGGACATGGACTGCAACGTCCATCAAGCAAGCTTCTCAGGCCTTTATAACAAAACAAAAAACCCTCCCCAATACCACCGAGCACAGTTGCAATGCATTAAACATGTCTCGGGCGCCAACCGGCCATCCCACTTCGATGCTTACACCACTAGCTTCATGATGCGCACGCGGCTCGCGCCGTGCAGACGCGGACGCCAGGCCCCCCGCGGGCGGGAATGCCGCGCGGAGCAGCAGCCACAGCAGCACCAGGTGCGGCACGAACGACAGCGCCACGCACGTCTGCCGCGCAAGCACGTACGCCAAGCGCAGCAGCGCGAGCGCGGCGGCGAGCGCCTGCGGCATGCCCGAGCGCGCGGGGGGGTGGAGAGGGGCGGGGTTGTTCGAACAGCACGGCACGCTTTTTACGCGAGAGAGGCCGGAGAGGTCGAGCGTTCCCATCGCGGTGGTGCGACAGGGGTTTTTTTTGAGCTTCGCTTGGAGAAGGGCTTTAGTTGGAATTTCAAGGTAAAGACTAACTCTTGTCGCCGATCCCGAAGAACTTAAGGAGCACATAGCGCCCACCACGATTAACGGAATGATTACAGCGCATTGTTCGAAAAGCGCTTTCACTCCGTTTCGGTTTAGGTATGTCGGCATTCAGTGCTGATTCTGCAGCGTGGAGATTCATTCACTCAAGAGGTT